CAGGGCCATTGCAATACAAATGGGTCGTCATCACAGTGTTATCACTCGTTTGATTGTCAAACATGGTCAAACCAATGATGTCAATGACAGGCATAGGTCTGGTAGGCCAAGAAAGACCTCTAACAGAGAGGATAGACTTCTTTTCAGAATAGTCAGACTAAATCCATTTGCCACTTCAACAGATTTAAGACTGCAGTGGATTACCCATCAGAGACTCTCGACGATGACCATAAGGCGTCGCCTCAGAGCGGCTGGTTTTAACGCCAGAAGACCAGTAAAACGTCCTCAACTGACTAAGAGGCACATGCGGAATCGTCTGAAATGGTGTCGTGCCCGTAGTCGATGGAACTTGGCCAACTGGAGAAGGATCCATTGGTCTGACGAGTGTCGAATGCTGCTACGAATTGTTGATGGTCGAATACGTGTTTGGAGGCAACGTAACACTCGTTTTGCACCAAGGAACATACAGAAGACCTTAGCATGTGGCAGGGGGTCTGTCATGATATGGGGTTGTGTTTCCTTCGGCTGCAAACTTCCGCTGGTGACAATTCGTGGAAACCTGAATGGCCAACAATACCAAGATGCCGTTCTACGTCCAGTGGTAGTCCCTCATTTTGACAACCATCCTCTTCAGACAAGACCTGTTTACATTGACGACAATGCAAGACCACACAGATCTCGGGCAGTTTTGGCTTATTTGCGTCAAGAAGCTATTGCCACTCTTCCTTGGCCGGCCTGTAGTCTGGATCTTAATCCGATTGAGCATCTCTGGGACATTCTTGGCCGGAAAATCAGACATCGTGATCCCCCAGTTCAAAATCTCGCTGGACTTGAAGCCGCACTTCATGAAGAACGGATCCGTTTGCCTCAGAGAAGCATTCAACGACTTGTAATGAGTATGAGGCGTAGGGTTGAAGCTGTGGTCAATGTCCGTGGATCATACACACGTTACTGACGTTTCTGTCTTGCAATAGACTCTGCACTCCCTAGGGTTGGTTGGTTGGTTGGTTTGTTGTTTAACGCCGCACTCAGCAATATTCCAGCTATATGACGGGGGTCTGGACCAAACAATCCAGTGATTGACATCATGAGCATCGACCCACGCAATTGGGCACTCCCTAGGGTGTCTATGTGACACCTGATATGGTCTGCTGATATCATGACAGTTACATGACAAAAAAGTTTTTCAATGTTTTCTGATCCTTCAATTTCTGGTCTTCGGTAAAATTCATTTCTGCTCTTATTCTTTTGGAACACAAGATTAACTTGCTTTGGGACAACTTTTGAATCACATGAGGTTTACATATACGGCTTATAACAATCGTACATCTCGTTATAATAGTCATCATTAAGTGCGAAAAGTAACAGCTCACAAATATGGTGGTTTTGTGCATGTGTATAAATATAATTAAGGTGGCCTTTTTTAGATTTTAAAACTTAAAAATATTTCTTTTCAGACACAACACACTATATATTACTTTATATACATATACCAAATTATTCTTATACCAACACTTTTTTTATCTTATAAATTGGAACAATGAAGTCATACTAATTTTTAATCTCTATAATGATGATTGTATTAATCTTGCAGTGTCCACATCCAGTTTGCTTTGACAATCAGATGATTGTAATACAGATAGAGCTCATTCTTAATTTCAAAAGGCCTTGCTTTTCAAGTTTCCTTATTCTAAACTGACGTCTCAAATTCCCACATGAACAAATTATTGATGTTATTCTTTTTTCTCTTTACACCAACATATATCTGCATTGCACAATGACTGTTATTATGTTATTTGATATCTTGGTATACTTTTGTATGTATACTAGTATTAGATTACACATGCATGACGTTTTAGCAGTCATTATCAGTTAGTGAACTGCATGTTATGTCAATCAAGATAAGCAACATAAAAATGACTCTAGTATACTTTCATGTTTGAAGAACCAATCAATTCACTGTGGGAACATATTTAATTACTTACATAAGTTACTTAGATCTTCTTAAGATCAAAATAGATCCAAATTAAAATGAGATTAAATTAAGGAGTCATTTCAGTAATATGTATACTGACTGAACATGTAAGACAACATATACATTGCCTGAGTGAGTCAATATACATATGCCTGATTAAAGACGCTGGCTGTAACATTTATAAGTATAATCTGCTATTTGCAAAAACAAATAACATAAATAAATGCATCTACATGGAATGATTGCGGGGTTAAATTTGCATTTATGTCATCATCAGACTATTTGATTATGAACTCTCTAAAATCATATTTGCTATATCATAATAATATCTAATAAATAGACTTAATACTACAGGTGTCTTGAAGTACTGTGGAATGACAATCAGGATACATAGCTACAGCAGGATAGTGAATGGGTTGTAATGGAAATAACTTGTCAACATAATGATAAATATACTGTGCCATTAAGTGCCAAAAGTAACAGCTCACAAATATGGTGGGTGTCGCTTAACTTTTGTGCATGTGTATACATGGAGGTTCATTTGAACGGCCTGTCATTGGGCTATACAGGAAATATAAGCACTCAACCCATGTATTTCATAGCTTTAGTTGACCTAGCATTCAGAAAAGCATAGCATTAAATTATTAGCATTGGTATACACCTGTGGAATGGACAAAAAGTAACTCGTCAAAAAGAATAAAAGTAGTCGTTATCCATATAAAGATATTAATTTTATCAAGTTTCGGTTTGGGAAAACACATTCTTTCTTTTTGGTCAAATGGTTCAAGGACGTTATTGGTATTGGTATCCTAACATAAAGCCACATGATACTAGCTCAGTTTATTAACATTGTTGTTACTACTTCCAGTTTTCATGTGAAGGCAGTGGATGGGGCTTATCATCGTATTATAATATGCTTCTTTCAATATCTTTTCGCTGTATCTTACATGTGTAAGTAAAGGAGAATGTCCGAAATCTCGCGATTATTTTCGCACGTGAAGCTTGTTCGAGGCCGTTAGGGACTTGAGGACTTTCTCCTACTTAAAACAAAGTTCGATCAAGTCTCAAACTAATCTTCAAGTGACATTCACTACACTATGCTGTACTATGGGAGGGTGACCAATCTTGTTTAACTATAGGAGGGGACTTTTCAATGAAATCTATGATACGTTTTAGTACCCATACTCAAACTATTGGAGTGTTAGCAAAATGATTGTGTCTATCCAACTGTCATTAAAGTTCACGTAACTTTGTCTTAACAAAACCTAAAACCCCAACTATGGTCGTCCAGCCGCGTTACTTTTGACATGCACTCAAAAAAGATGCAATCAACGATGTTGATACATAATGCCAACTTTCACTGTTTTCTATGCAAACCAATGACATAGGATCAATTACGAACGTAAATATACATAAAAAGGTCAAGCATCAGAAGCAGCAGAAACATAAAGTTTGTGCGAGTGAGTGAGTACGGTTTTACGCCGCTTTGTCGGCGGGGGACACCAAGAATGGGCTCCACACATTGTAACCATGTAGGGAATTGAACCCGACACTTCGGCGTGACGAGCGAACGCTTTAAGCACTAGACTACCCGACAGCCCTCATATAGTTTGATAGTATTTGGACAATCGGTTGCAGAGCAATAGGGCAAAATATGTCTTTAAACATGAATTACGGTATTGTAAAATTCCCTCTGCTCATTGAAGAAATATTTGTTCTGAAAACAAATGTTGTGAAACATACATTGTTCGGTTTCCCCTTCCATAGAACACCTGCTGTTTGACGCAGTGAACCTTTAAATATCTACGAGCTTTGAGCTATTACAGCTTATCCATACCGAGTGAAATAATGGCGAACCTCCTGAGAATTGGCGAGGGACATTCAACATTTCGAGGTATATCCCTCACTTTGGATTTCTTGTCATGTAGGCCAGCTTTAAAAAAGTAACTAGTAGTAATATAGTTTGTTCATTTCACAAAATTTCAACCTTAGTAAGCAGCCAAACAATTATGTAGAGTTTTAGAAATGTTGTATGTTTTTGCAACATTATTCTTTGTCTACCAAAGTTAAATGATTATTGAATATCTTTTAACCATCATCGAGCTTCAACTATAGAAGCCTTGTGCTTGTATATTTAGTTCTTGAGTCAAACGTACGGGCCATACAGCAAGTTTGATTCCACATTTTATACAGTCTCCTACCCAGAGTTCCATGCGGCCGACAACCAGCCAGCATAGTATCTCTGCCACAGGCCTGCGCCATATGACGATTCGTCACATCTTTCACAGTCCATTCAAGATATTGAATATGCTTTTCATCCGTTTCATGTTTGAAAGTCTACACATTTTCATAAACAAATGTCAAAGAATGGTTACGGTTCATTAAGAAAGTATCCTAATACGTGAAAATCTACTTTTCTTTGCGTAGTTATCCTTTATTTACATTGGTTGTACGGCTCCACGTGCTGTCATCGAAGCCCAAAGGAGAGCTATAGCGATATATCACTTTTATGTATAAATATATATATTGTCATGCAACTCACTGTCGCAGTTGTAGTAGTATATCTATATAATTATGCAAAACAATATGTAAAGCGCCCCCAAATACTTGCATTAGTCCGTTCTATACTGATTTCTGAAAAAGCGCGTTTGTTTACAAACAAGAGAAAAGTCCGGTCACGTGATATGCAAATCAGCTGAGTCACCACTGCGCCGGAGTGTGCATTTTATAATGAACACATTACTCATTTTGTGAAATTTGTTGTGATTGAGTCTACAACCTCACAAACACGGCGCCTGTATTTAGCATAGGTGAGTGATGTATATGATTTCAAAATATACAAAATACTACCATTACAACAACTACACTTTGAAATAAGAAAATATTTGCAGCGAGATAAATGTGATACTATTTCAATAATCACGTAAAACCATACTGACTCACAACAATACATGTACAGCTTCGAGCGCTGCTGCTCACGGAATTACTAATGTATGTGAGATATTCAAAAATTGCAAATAAAATATTGATTCTTCTAACTTTACTGAAAGGTTACATACAACTTCAACACAAGTGGTTTCTAACAAATACAAACTTGTCAACACATTTACACCACTTCAAGGTTGGAATGTGACCAGATAATCTGGGTATGCCTGTGTATCATTGAACACAACGTACATGACAGGATTGTTAATATCGTTCACGACCGAGTCATACAGCTCAGTGCCAGTGCTTCCTGTCTTGGACGGTGCAACTCTCATCTTAGGATCCCCCAAAGTATACACGCCAGTCAAGACTCGAACCAGGTACAAGTATTTCTGCCCTTGTGCGTCCGGTCTTGAGTATGCATCTCGGGCAGAATATTTGGCATTAACAGCGAAATACACTCCTTGCCCGTAGTAGGTGGCTGAAATTGGAAGCGGTTATCTGTAGACACATTGGAATATGAAGATCCAGTAGCCATTCCTTGAATGCTACGAACAGGTGTCATTATGTACTTTTCACAAGTAAAATATGTGTAACGTGAATCGTATCAGAAAAAAAACCATATGCACATTTACTGTTCTTAAAAAAATCGCTCTTCTTTTGTGATAATTTCCAATGAGGAATTCAAATACATATATAAAAATATGCAATCTCAAGCTTCCGGCCTCACAGCCTTCCACAGTCCCTGTCTTTCTCACAGTCACTAGACCATATTATTTTCCATTCCACCCAGGCCTTTCTGTGATGCACAAGCCCTAAATGAAGCAAGTCTCCCATCTCACTGGGGCTCCATTTCAATTTACATAGAGTTATTTGTTTCTATCAAAATCATAATATTTTCAGAGACTAGGTGTTAGTCTGGACCTTCACTATGTACACTCGTTTGGCACCACATTGAATACTAGAGAAGCTTGTTCAACCATTGCTGTGACTGATAAAGGAGGGGAATTATAGTGAGGCAATTGATAAACTTCATACCAAACTGCAAATTTCTATTGCACACATGTTACAAAGCTGCAAGTGAAGTTGTTTGAACAGAATGTGGTCGCTTCCAGCTGTTCATAAATGCTCACTGTAGAGTTCTGTCTTGTTGGATACGGTTTACCAGACAACCATTAACAGATACTCCAGACAATGTTATGATTTACACATTAGATTAGATGATGCAGGGGACGAAAACCGTGTTTTTTCTGACGAATACCATTATGTAAAAATAGTTTTGGGCATGTCTGGCTTGCACAAGATGTAGGTGACAGAAAGGTATTTCTTAATTTTTTGAAACAAAGATGTAAAGATATTTATCAATATGAGTAATTCATTAGTCAAATCATTTTAATATTCTTCCGAAATCCAAAGTTCAATTGCATCATTATCTTATGTAATGAAAAACAATCTCCGTCCGTTAACAAAATTTAGCTGCAATGTACGTAATGTTAACATTAGAGCAGCTAGATTTTCCAAAAACACGGCAATTGAATATGCACCCTGTCCATACTCTAACCACCCTAATGAAGAGTGAGGGCGTATGGTTTGACGCCGCGTTTAGCAATCTTCCAGTAATATCATCACGGGGGACCCCTAGTTAAGATGAATATCACGTACTGTCAATATGTCCAGAATATGCAAGTCCAAGAAATGATTACATGCAACAGTATTTAAATAAACCGGACCATCTCGGTAAAAGTTGTATGATATACATCAAATCGAAAGTGTGAATATGTTACTTAAGTTATCCGTGTTATTGTACCGCGTATTTCACTTGAGAGCGAAGAAACCCATATATATCTGCTATGAAGTGCATTTCTGTAAACCCGTTCTATACTCTGTGAAACTATAATGTCAAGATTGCGCAGCAAGTATTAACTATACCATTGTATACAAGATGTATTATTGGCCCTTTGGACATATATGCCTGTCTGTCTGAAGCAATACATACCATTTTTCCCACAATAGCTTCTGTTGAACCCATGTGCATTGATGCTGCCTATAGCATCTGTGCTGGTACCGTGCCACAGCCATGCCTCGTTCTGGGTACCCTGGGGGTTCTGCTTCTCAAGTTGCTTCCTTTTTGCCGCATATTGCTGATACAGAGATCTGTTCTGAATGCGAGTCACCTATGACAAATACGCAATGTATGATGGTACTTTTCAGTAACAGGGAAGGTGTTAGTCAACGTCGTAGGTTACAAACCACTGCAAAGGTTGTAAGGGTACACTTCAAGTCACGTCCTGGCAGACTATAATGTGCAAGTTGAAATGCGTTGAGTTGCTAAGGGAGCGACCATTTGATATTATCAAAATTATTCTAGCTCATGGCTTTGATTAAAAAATCTGGTTTTACTACTGCAGCTGAAAAATATATAGTCTCCATACAAAATTCCAATTAGTTTTATGATAAGGTCTTCATAGGTAAGGAATTTATTTTAATGGGAGGACTCTACATACAGCACATGTGTAATATACAACGGAGATGGTGTTCTATCCGACATTCAGATGACGATCAAGAGGAATCTACTATTTCTTTTACAAATGTAAAAAGTTCTTTCCACAGATACATGCACATATTTTATGCAAACATGTCCGTACCTAATATGCCATGTTATCATTGGCGTTGTGTTATAAATACTGAGGTTAATGATGCACTGTTCCGGAAATAGAATCACCTCCGCGTGTGAACCATACAGTAGATAGTATTGAGTGTGTTAGGTTTAAAAACATCCATATATCTTTATGCCATTGTATCGTAAACAGTGTCAGATCATGTTCGTGTTACATCGTATCGTCACTATTGGATGGTAATTCATAAAGTCATGCATATGATAAAGTTATTCGTTATTTTGATATTATGGTCTTATGTATAATTTCCAGCTGCCACTACGATTTTGACAAAGACTTCAATAAATTCAATGACTATCTTCACCTGGAGGATATCATTTACATCGGGAAAGAGGTCCATATGACGTTTGACCTAATAGATTTTAACCGATTTGGAAACAGACGTTTCCTGATTTACGTGGATCTATGTTATTTCTCGCATCTAGAACAAGTCTCAGTAAAGGTTTAGTCAATGTCATCAGATCTTAGTCAATATTGACTTACGAACTTTAACAACTTTTCAAGAACCTACTTAAAAGGGAAATCTCCTCATCTTACGCGTATATTTGTATTTTGAGAGGCAGAGGCAAGGAAAAACTATTATGGTATTTCAAGTTTATCGACTGTGCGTTTTATAGAGATTGTGGTATCGTACCTTAAGAACCTTGGCTTTGCTGTTGTTGATAGTTGACATGAACCTTTGTTCAACCGTCTTAAACTCTTCACCGCCAGCTGCGACTGGAAAACACTCAATATTAACTTCATCCGCCATGTTCTGCCAGCTCGGAGGTAGGTCAAATATTGATTGTTTGGCCTCTGAAAAACAACACGTAAGATATAAATACATTTAATTAAGTATGACACCTACACGAATGTCACAATGTATATATTCTCTTCACGTAAGGATAGTGTGTAGTTAAGAAGTGTGGTTCGTATGTATTTGCTTAAACAGACTACTCCTTGACCTCATCGTTGAGAAAAATATGAATGACTGTATCTGCTAATACTGTATGCCGAATTAGGGTTGACAGTTTGTTGTCCATCGTGTTCTAATCACAAAGAAATAAATAATCTCTGTTATCCTATTCATCGTGGCATTGAAATTGAATATATTTGTCTTCAAACACGTCGCCTTAGTTGTCAGATGGCGTTTTACCAGTGTCTATATATACTATCGGAAAAGAATAACTGTGCTTCACATAAAGTGGTGTAAACGTTATGTTATTGAACATAACAGCATAATATTTGATCACTCCTTTGATCAATGTTTTATCACAACGAATTCGTTGACATAACCTATACATGGTAACAGGAGACAGAGCCACACGCCCTCACAGAGTGGTGGTGTAACAGGTCAATTAACAATGCCACAATCGGATGTGACTACCATATGCGTTAATACAGAGCGGTGGTGCATTGAAGACACGAGAGACATTGAAGCCCTGGCATTGCATAAGCGTTTGTTACGGTTAAACAAAAACGTTTTCATGGGCACGATAGTTCTACAATTATTGTGTGCTGTTCACATGACAAATACCACGTGTGTAATTATTATGCTCCCAACGAACACGCAAAGATCCTAATCGTGCGCGTGTAAATTGTGAATCTCGACCTTATAGTCGAGGAGATGTCTTAAATAATATGTATTAAAAAGTCCATTGCATAACTTTATAGTAAATTTATTTTTAATGAAAGTTATGTGAAGCACAGTTAATTATTCCGTTAGTATATTTAGAAACACCTTAGATAATACTATTTTCTCACCCTGCAAAAGGTCTCGTCGCATGACATTGTATGTTTTCTTTGCTGCTGTTCCCTCCAAGGACGAAAAGTCGATTTCGATCTTGGTCTTCATGAAAGGTACCTTGCACAACTTCTTATTGTCTGTAAATGCCTTTTCGATTGCTGCATTTTCCTTCTTACCAAAGTCCTTCTTATCGGAAGGACTGTCTTTCTCGAAATAGGCCCACTGTATTGTTCGAGAGAGTAGGGTCGCCTTTTCTGTTTCGCTCTCCTCCTTCTCAATGTCACGAAGGTATTGAATAACCTTTCCTGTTGCATGCCCAACCTCACCTCTCAGTCCTGTCAGTTCTATAGCTCCTTTGTCTCTGTCGACTCTTAGCTCCACATCAAAGCGTTTATGCAAGGAGTCAATCTGGAAGTATATTTTCTGTGTCAGTAAATCGTCAGGATGCTCGATATCCTAAGGGTATCTACTTCTAATCCAACAATTAGGGATTCGAAAGTATATTTATTATGCTGCAAATAACAATTCCAAAGAATCTGAATATTTATCTAAGACTTTTTTTCAAATGAAATTGAAATTCACAACAAATTATAAAAGGGGGAAACAAAAGTGGATTGAAGAGGCTAGTAAATAATAACATATATTTGAGAGGTCTTTTTGTAGAAATACATTTGCAAACAAAAACGATAAAACCTTTTCAATAATAATAATTAATATGTAGCAGAGTCCGTCGCACGATTCCGACTATTTCATAAGCATGATATGCTTGTCGTAAGAGGCTCCTAACGGGATCGGCAGGTCAGGTTCACTGACTTGGTTGATGCATGTCATCGTATCCCAATTGCTTGGAACGATGCTCATGATGTCAATCACTGGCTTGTCTGGTCCAGACTTATATACAGATCGCCGTCATATAGCTGGACTATTGCTGAGTGCGGCGTTAAACAACAAATCATAAGCATGAGAGGGGTGGAGGAATAGCCTTGTGGTTAAAGCGTTCGCTCTTCACGCCGAAAGCGTTCGATTCCCCACATGGGTACAATGTGTGGAGCCCGATTCTGGTGTCCCTCGCCGTGATATTGATGGAATATTGGTAAAAGCGGCGTAAAACACTCCTCACTTACTCACTAGTACTCACTCATAAGCATTTGTTTAGGAATCACTACAAAAATAGTGTTTACGAAAAAGTGAGCGTATCCTGCCCTCAACAATTGCAAATGCAGGTCAATTGTTCATTTGAAAAATAAATCACACGGGAATATATGGTACAACATCATTTTGCTCATTGACGGACCAAATGTCTACCATAAAACTTATTTAATGCTTCTTTGAGAACGTGGTTGTTGTAACGCTGATCAAACAGCCTTTGTGCAAGATTCGTATGACGCTCTTTCAAATCTTCGTACAAAGAGCATCCTCGATTGTACCAAGGCCGACACCAAGGCCTGGAACTTCTGGAATATTGCTGGACAGAAAGGGACGGATGAGGCGGGCTCACTGGTCTCCTATATTTCTAGTTCAGGTGGGTAAATCAGTGGAAGGAAATTGGGTATTTTAATATTTTTTAACGATATCAGATAATCGAAATTCCGGAAGCTTTAAGTTAAATGGCTTGGTCAAATGCCCGTGTTGCCAATCCAATGCGTGGTTTTGGCATATTTCTTCAGTTATTTGTGGCATTATTTGAGATGTTACTTATGGCAAGCTCTTTGATTAAGCATTGAATGCGTAGTGATCCTTCTATACAATGGCAGAGTTATTTGAGGCAAAGTCAGTTGGATCTACTATAAACTTTTCATCGAGGGCATCCAGTTTCATTTTGTTATTCCAATATTGTTTCCTAGTTTTATTTTCTTCATTTTTCTCATTCTACCAAAGACAACATCACATACTGACTTAAGCCACCCCGAAATACATTCAACAGGTTCATCTTCTCTTTTGGCCATTATTTTATCAAATGTTTTGACAGGATCCATAATGATTGTAAAGTTGTGATCCTAACTGGTAAAAAGGATGTTCACGGGATTTAGGACCATATTTGACTAGTAACTGTTGAAGGCTGGTATTGTCTTCTTGCAAAACCTCTAATGGCAATACACATGTTCCAAACTCAAATAATGGACATTGCTACTGTGAAGTGAATATCGTAACCTGATGGTCTGTTAGTTTTGTTATCACTTGGTCCTGTGATGTCTCTGTAATCCATTCCTCCTTGCATAGTGCTTCCAGGTTCCTTATACCATTGGCTATGTTGTCTGATTGGTCAGAGAAGAAGAAGAGATCAACCCTCCCTGTCGAAGTGGTGCCTGACGAAATGTACGAAGAACAAGATGGAACCTACCAATCCTTGGGAAGCGTAAAGGCAGTTATCTTATTGATAGATAAAACGACAAAACCCTTTCCATCCCGCCTATGAATGCAACGAGGTCATTCCATCACGGTTAATAATAATAAGGAAATTAGTTCAGCAAATACTCAAACACAAAAGTAACTGTAATCAGTTAAATTTATGGATAACTGAAAATAATGACAATAATGACGACATGGCCTATATTCCAACTACTAATTGTTCAGACAAACTAGGGTAGCTTGATGAGATTTTTGTGTCTGATGGGTCCTAAGAAAAAAAATATTCTTTCTCCCTCTCTTGCACATCTCTTATAGGAAATTAAAGTAGAATACATTTAACCATAATTTGTGTAAAACAAAACTAATATCAAGGCAGAATTTGGATGTGAAAGTTTGAAGTTGTTTGAAATATTATTTAATATTATTAAAGATCATTTTCCTATGGGATATCTCTTTGCAATCGTTAACAGCACAAATACAACCCCTGCACCTTATTGGTAAATACTTACCTCTTGTAATGATAGATTGTTCCTGTGGTATTCCTCCTGTGCCTGCCGAGTGTTTCACCATTGCAGCAAATGGTTTTAACATTGCTTCCTGGAATACAACTACTCGAACATCGCTGATGTTAACAGCCTGAGGTCCGAACTCAGCAAATGCTTGTGACATAAGCTTGGCAATATCCTCAGGCTGTATATTACCGATGCCTGTACAGAAAATGTTGCTTGATACAATAGAAGCTGACATATAGATGCAAAGTACAACTATGAAAGGAACATTCTGACTGCTGCACATCTCTTCAGCTTCTTTTTATTATTATTAATATTATTTTTATTATTATTGTTGTTGTTGTAGTTGTTCTTATCATTATTGACCACTGCTGTTTCTTTAAAGTTCCGAAAAACGACCACTAAATCTGTTATATTTTCCAATATTCTTCATTTGTTGATTGAGAACTACAACGAAACATATATTCTGATCCAAACATGGATGAAACATTACCAATAATAATATGTAATATATTAACACACTCACAACGACTGCTACCAGCTCTAGCCACGTTACCTGTTCCCAGCAAAGGGAATGCTACTGACTGTGCATCACGCAGTTTTTCTGCCTCTTCCAGACAGCTGAGGACTACTTTCTTCCAGTCATTGCCGAAATGGTGCCCGGCCACATGGAGGACGTATTTACACTTCAGACCTCTGGATGTCGTGCTGATAACGCCATGCTGTCTCATGTCATCAACTGTAACAGAAAATGTAAATTCAAGCATGCATTCTGGTCATGCTGCCGATAAAGCAGTTAAGTAAAAGAAACCAGTTGTGCCAATCCAGACTTGAACATGTACTTGCGGCCTGACAATACTGGGTGTAACTATGCATTGGGATCGGATTCCCTTGAAATCTGGATACTCACGTGCCGGAGCTAATGATTGCTTTTGGGATGTTTCCCATGGACTTGAAACTGAACTCAACTTCTCTCACTCATATCAACAAAGCATTCTAGTGGATAAACCCTTTTTGATAGATACTCACAATGACGTGAGCTTCGTTTTCTACTTGTGTAACACCGACCACGAGCGATTACATAATTCACATGACATTCAGAATGCTAGATTACATTAATATTAATGTTACATTGATGTTACATTTCCACATAAAAGATCTGAAGTCTTCCTGAAATGTTATTTTATCTACAATGTACAACTCCAGGGTATAGCAAGTGTCTTACACAACTGCACAGAGAATCGATATGAATCTCACCTTTCTTTGCACACTGCGACTCCATATCTTTGCCACATGCTTTCCTGATAGCACTTGAGACAGCACCTTAAGGAAATATACCATACACAGCACACGTAAGGCATTCCTCTTTAAGTTTATCATGTAATTCTTCTTTGCTAAGCCACGTCTACCTTTACATTTCATTAAGTATCCATTGAGACAACTTCAGGCATATCATGTAAATACAGGTGTTATCGTTGATTAAAAATAGTGTACAGTAAAACAAAATGTATATCTTTATCAGGTTTATTTAAAGGAGCATATGTAGGTCCCTGGTGAAGTTGTGATAGTAAAACGAACCTATACTTTCCAATTCCTTTAATGATCTTAATGTGGAAGTAAAATATTCACTATTTCCCTGACATTCTTTAATTCTTTAATACGTTCTTTACCTTACGGTACAGTACATCTCTATATTACTCATTTATTCTGCTAATGGTCTTTAAATGGAAGTAAGTGGAATTGTCTTCACATGATACCATCCGGCTAGTCCTGCTATCTTCTGCTATAGATTCAACTGTCTTATATATTGCACTGCAAAGGTCTGGTTATGGTATCAATTGGCTCCTCTCTTTTCCTCCTATTTTCTACTAATAGTCTCACTATCGGCTGCCCCACCTTTCTTCAGGTCCAGTTCCATGTTGGTGCTGTTCACGATACAGTCTGTGTCTTCTTTTGTTATGTCCCCTTGTTTCATTTGCACTGTAATATTTCCAAACTGTATGCTACCAGAGCCGGCGGAGGCGCTCCAGGGACCTTCTGAAACAATCCCACGAACCCCTGGAACTAAAACAAAGATGATGAGAGACCGAGCAAGTTTAAGTAAACGCTGCTTTGAACACTATTCAGTCGTAGCAGCACGTGTCAGTTTGATATGGGGAACACAGGTCTTTACGACCTTAAAACCAACGACACACTGACAAATTAAGCGATATATAATCAGAAGGAAACTGGGACCGGGGGTTGATGCCTTGCAAAAGACAGCGAAAGTGCGACACCTTAGACCGCTGGGCCACCCGTTATATAAATATGATTGTATACGCATTTACACGTAACTGGATCATGAGCAGAACGTTTAATAGAATCACACATTTTAATGGCAGCAGGTACCCCTACAGGCCACCACCTCATGGAGGTATTATTTACTTTACATTAGATTTGATCAGGGAGAATCCGCTTGGCCACCAGTCCGTTAGACTTGGTTGTATACGCATATACACGTAACTGGATCAAGAGCAGAAAATCCTCATGAATCATGACCAGCCACTAACATAGAGATATTATGTGCGCTTTTCTCGTATTTATGCCATTACCAAGAAGGTCAAGATCATCACATCATATTTCTCTTCACACTGGTTTAACTTGGAAGTGATTTTGCCAACTTTCTTTGAACATGTACTAGTAGTTGCTAAAGAAACCGAATGTACCTTTAATTTAAGCTATTCAATATTTTGACGTTGATTGGAAGCCTTGACTATTATTTCATTATCACACGCGAACACATGTTGACCTTGTGACGCCTATGATCAGTTTGCCTGGAAAATTGAACTTACAACAATCAGTGTCTCATCATATCATCAAGACGTTACCTAAAAAAACCCAAGAAACTAGAGATGTTTATCAACGATAAGAACAGGAACATAAGGTGCCACATTTCCTAATTGAGACTGGAGCAACCAGTAAACATTGCAATCATTTCAGTATTGATTGTCTAGAGTATCTCTGAAGTGAAAATGAATTTCTGTTGATAGTATTAATATTTTATACACTTGTACTCGCGGTAAATGTATACCTGATTTTCAGTGACCTATTTAAAACAAGTTTAAAACTATTTTGCCAATGACGACCAGTGGAATCTGTTTCGACAGATAATCGAGACTGATCAGTATCTGACGTTGACGTTCAATATTTGTTTGTGATACTGCATGTGGAGTCATTTTGATCCTTAATTATTACTGACTCCTGAATATAAACAGTATATATAATACAACTAACTACCCACTACCGTCTTGACATCACAGGTATCGTAAAGGCGACACCCCGTTCTTGTTAGTAGACAAATGTTGATTTATTGATTCAGTGTTATTAATACATTGATGTTACCTGGTGCTTATGGCACTATAAAGTACTTTATCTTTATCCTGGTATTGACTAACACACTGACAATGAATTACAAGAAACATGTTACTTACCTGTGAAAATGACTCCATCCTACGTTAAGGAGCGGTCGGATAGCCTTCGTCACACCGAAGACCCGGGTTCGATTCCAGACATGGGTTCAATGTGTGAAGCCCATTTCTGGTGTCCCCTGCCGTGATATTGCTGAAATATTGCTAAAAGCGGCGTAAAACCACACTCACTCACTCCCCATCCTACGTTACAGGAAAGTTCAAAGGAATAAATCCTATATCAAATATTGACAAATAGTCCCGCATTTATTTCTTACCTGTTTTAGGTGTTCGTATGGTGGATTGTTGATTCAATGATTTCACTGATTCCTTCATCTGAGACGAAACTGTGAGAAACATTGACTTCTGGAACACAACCACCCGTACATCTGTCAGGTTGGATGCTTGAGGCTCGAACTCGGCAAAGGCATGAACCATGATCTCGGATATTTCTTGAGGGTTGACGTGACCAGAACCTGGTGGCATTAAGTGACGGTATTGTTATCATAATTAGCATAAACTATTAAGGGTGGTTTGGGTAGGCTAGTGGTTAAAGTGTTCGACTCCCCACATGGGTACAAAATGTAAAGCAGTTTTTCTGGTGTCCCCGTCGTGATATTGCTAGAATACTGATTAAAGTGGCGTAAAATGACACTCACTTAATAAATCACTCAATCACTCATTCACTCACAATACAGTGACCTATAGTTGACTTGTAGTATATTTGGGAACGAAACATTAATATATATGAATAAATATAGGTATATTAGCACGGTACATATTCATTCATTGAACACCAAATTATCTTTATTTCATTATTAACTTGAAAAAAATAACTTGAACCTACCTGTTCCAAGGACCGGAAGGGCAATTGAGCGCGCATCACCCAATTCGTCTGCCTCTCTCAAACATGTGAGGACAACTTTCTTCCAGTCATTGCCAAAATGGTCCCCCGCCACATGTAGGACGTAGTTACACTTCAGACCTTTCGCTGTCGTGCTGACAACACCGTTCTGCCTCATTTCGTACACTATATATAAAGTATGGTTCTGATCAGTCTTTGGAATTATCGAATTTCCATAAACACACGCACGTTTTTACCGGAGAAAGATGTTGCAGCGTAGATATCTTTGTATAACACACTATTTGCCTAGAACACACACTGCATATATTTTTCATGGAGAACCGCAGCTATTTATACCTGTATGTATGAACATGGCTGACTTACTACAGGAGCCGCAGCTGATCACATCTGTGTGTATGAACATGGCTGACTTACTACAGGAGGCGCAGCTGATCACACCTGTGTGTATGAACATGGCTGACTCACTCCAGGAGGCGCAGCTGATCACATCTGTTTGTATGAACATGGCTGACATACTACAGGAGCCGCAGCTGATCACATCTGTGTGTATGAACATGGCTGACTTACTACAGGAGGCGCAGCTGATCACATCTGTGTGTATGAACATGGCTGACTTACTACAGGAGGCGCAGCTGATCACATCTGTTTGTATGAACATGGCTGACTCACTACAGGAGCCGCAGCTGATCACACATGTGTGTATGAACATGGCTGACTTACTACAGGAGCCGCACCTGATCACACCTGTATGTATGAACATGGCTGACTTACTACAGGAGGCGCAGCTGATCACATCTGTGTGTATGAACATGGCTGACTCACTACAGGAGCCGCAGCTATTTATACCTGTATGTATGAACATGGCTGACTTACTACAGGAGGCGTAGCTGATCACATCTGTGTGTATGAACATGGCTGACTCACTACAGGAGCCGCAGCCGATCACATCTCTATGTATGAACATGGCTGACTTACTACAGGAGGCGCAGCCGATCACACCTGTGTGTATGAACATGGCTGCCTTACTACAGGAGGCGCAGCTGATCACATCTGTGTGTATGAACATGGCTGACTTACTACAGGAGGCGCAGCTGATCACATCTGTGTGTATGAACATGGCTGACTTACTACAGGAGGCGCAGCTGATCACATCTGTTTGTATAAACATGGCTGACTTACTACAGGAGCCGCAGCCGATCACATATGTATGTATGAACATGGCTGACTTACTACAGCAGGCGCAGCTGATCACACCTGTGTGTATAACATGTCTGACTTACTACAGGAGGCGCAGCTGATCGCACCTGTATGTATGAACATGGCTGACTCACTACAGGAGGCGCAGCTATTTATACCTGTATGTATGAACATGGCTGACTTACTACAGGAGGCGCAGCTGATCACACCTGTGTGTATGAACATGGCTGAATCACTACAGGAGGCGCAGGTGATCACACCTGTGTGTATGAACATGGCTGACTTACTACAGGAGCCGCAGCCGATCACACCTGTGTGTATGAACATGGCTGACTCACTACAGGAGGCGCAGCTATTTATACCTGTATGTATGAACATGGCTGACTTACTACAGGAGGCGCAGCTGATCACACCTGTGTGTATGAACATGGCTGAATCACTACAGGAGGCGCAGCCGATCACACCTGTGTGTATGAACATGGCTGACTTACTACAGGAGCCGCAGCTTAAAGTTTCTCAATATTCATTGCACTAAGAGTTTCTCAATATAAATATTACTATGAGTGATTTGTGTTTGTCAGTATAAATATTACTATGAGTTACTCAATATACGTAGAAGTAATAAGGAGACAGATATTATAGCATACAAAAAACAACGCAATAAAGTCAACAACATGAAAAGCTATGCGAAAGAAAAGTTCTATTCTAACATCGATGAATTTCTTTCGGAACTATATATAGTAAATAAACAATCATATTGGAAATTACTAAGATATGTCGTCAAAAACTCTGGGACATCTACGAGCATCCCTCCGTTGAGGAAACAAGATACCGATGACTGTCCCACTATATTTTCAGATTTAGAAAAATCAGAGAGATTAAATGAATATTTCCAATACATATCTACCCTAACAGAAGAACGGGAAGAATTACCATATTTCAATCAACGCACTAAGAGTATTTTTGACAAATTAACTGTCTCAGAAAAGAAAATATCTGACGTTATAAAATGTCTTCAAATTAACAAGGCATCTGGTCCGGACAGAATAAGTAACAACCTATTAAAGAAAACAGTAAACAGCATTAGTATTGTTTTATGTATGTTATTCAATCATTCATTGGCTTTAAATGCATATCCAACAGAATGGAAAAGAGCGCATGTCATGCCATTGTATAAGAAAGGAGATCATTCAGTTGTGACAAATTACAGACCAATATCACTCATTAGTTGTATTGGTAAAGTATTTGAAAGAGTTGTATTTAAGCATCTTTATAACTACTTTCATGACAATAAATTGTTATATAAATACCAGTCGGGCTTTCAAAAAGGCCATTCCACTGTCCATCAATTAATTGAATTGTATAATCAAATTTGTATATCTTTAGATAATAGAGAAAAATATTGCATGGTTTTTTGCGATGTGTCAAAAGCATTTGATCGTGTCTGGCATAGAGGGCTTATGTACAAATTAGAAATGTATGGTATAAAAGGGAATTTACTTGAATGGCTGTCCAGTTACATAAGCAATCGTACTCAATCAGTGTTTGTTAGCGGGGCTCTATCCAAGCCAAGGATTTTGAAGGCTGGCGTTCCACAGGGGTCGGTGTTAGGTCCCTTTTTATTCATTGTGTTTGTTAACGACATTGCTGATGAATTAGATTGCATAACAAGACTCTTTGCTGACGATACAGCACTCGGCTTTTCTTCACCAGACAATCAACTTGTTGAATCAACTCTAAATTTAAATCTGAGCAAGCTGTGTAACTGGGCAAAACGCTGGTTAATTAAATACAACCCAGATAAAACAGAAGCGGTTATATTTTCCTTAAAAGATGAATCAGACCTCATTACCTTGTACTTTGATGAATGTAAAGCTAAGAATGTTCAAAATCATAAACATTTGGGTATAACGTTTGCATCAAACGGAAAATGGTCCTGTCACGTAGATAACATAATTAAGTCAACATCAAAAATGATAAATTCAATGAGAAAATTAAAATTCATATTGAACAGAAATACACTAAATAAAGTATATACAATCTTCATAAGACCCCATTTCGAATATGCGTGTGAAGTGTGGGATGGGTGTAATATAGAATTATCAACTCAGTTAGAAAATCTCCAACTAGAAGCTGCCAGAGTAGTTACTGGGCTCCCAAAGTATACTTCGCACACACATCTGTATTATGAAACAGGATGGGAAACGTTAATAGAACGAAGAAGGAAACGCAAGCTATGTTTGTTATACAAAATACAAAGTAATATTGCCCCAACTTACCTTAAAGACATTGTACCAACCACTGTAGGTTCAAATATATCATATAATTTAAGAAATTCAGACAATATTGGGATTCCATATACTAGATTAAAACACTCAACGTGTTCTTTTATTCCATCAACTGTAAGGATATGGAACACTATTCCTGCAGCAGGTAGAAAGTGTACATCTACATCCCAATTCAAGACATACATACAAAAAGAGCAAGTCATTGCACCTCCATATTTTTCCTATGGTGTTAGAAAGTTGAATATTTATCATACTCGATTAAGATACATGAAAAGCCAGTTAAATTATGATTTATACAGAATAGAGGTAAAATGTGATCCAATATGTCAATGTGGTGATCCATGTGAAAACGCATATCATTATTTATTAAAGTGTCCATTGTACGTCCACCAAAGAAAAACTATGTTAGCAATAATTCGGGACATTTTACAGAACGCCGTGAACAAAAATGCTAAATTAGATTTAAATTTGATGTTAAACGGAAATGAATGTTTGTCCATTATCGAAAATCAACACATCTTTAAAGCAGTGCAAATGTTTATAAGTCATACAAAGAGATTTGGGTAACACTTTAATGTACATATACTAGTCTCTCTCTTTTGTACATTTCTTGTTATCTTTACACTCATCTTCTTTTCTGTTTTTCTTGTATATGATTTACTGTACAAGCTTTGTAAATACCATGGAGAGGGAGTCCTAAGTTGGATAACTTGTTCCCAATCCATTTCAATCTGAATAAAATATGTTTAAATCAAAAAAATATACATAGTATTATGAGTTTCTCAATATACATAGTATTATGAGTTTCCCAATATACATAGTACTAAGAGTTTCTCAATATACACAGTATTATGAATTTCTCAGTATACATTGTACTAAGAGTTTCTCAATGTACATAGTACTTAGAGTTTCTCAATATAAATATTACTATGTGCTTCTCAGTATAAATATTACTATGAGTGATTTGTGTTTGTCAGTATAAATATTACTATGAGTTTCTCAATATAAAAAGGTAATATGAGTTTCTCAGTATTCATAATGTATCTTACACAATCCCAAAGTCGCCTTTTTTCGCTGACATCAACGCAATCTTATACAAAAAGTTACTCTTGACGAGGTCACTGTGCGAAAACAAAGATCCTAGGACCCAACCCTTTTGGTGGCCAGACTCGCTGAAGCGGTCGCTTCCGAGGGTCCTTATTTTCGCATTTTTACCTCGTCCAAAATATTCTATCGCTTTGTTATACCGAAATTCACTTAAAAGTTGATGAAGTCTTTAAAACGTCCTGTATTTCATTACAGTAACTTAGCTGCGAACCGTGAATTGTTCGTTGTTTTCTAGCAGACGAGTCAATATTCATCACATGTGATCAAAACTGGTCATGTGACGAGTCAATATTCGAGGTCTGTGTCAGTCACATGATTTCGGGGGTCGACATTGAAATGTGCTGTTTCGTCACGTGGTCCAGATTAACCAATGGTATTTAGAGATTGTTAACAGGGGTATAACAGAGGTGCAAAAGATGAGTGACAAATTTATAGGTGGAACCTGAATGTACATCGTAGTCCTGCACCATGAGTGTGGAATAAATGTAGGTTATGAGACCGAAACCAATCTAGGTTAGAGTGAGTGAGTGAGTTGGGTGTAACGCCGCTTTTAACAGTATTCCAGTTATATCACGGCGTGTCAGCTTAATGTGGGAGGAAAGCCTGAAGTGATGCAGGTGTCAGACGTTTAACACTTCGGTGAAACCAACGAGCACGGTTATGGTGCTGACAAACCTAGAAACCGGGATTCGAAGCCACAATCATAGGTTTCTGGCTTGCCCAAGGGACGCAACTCCGCACAGCGAATCGCGGCGCCTTAGACGACTAGGCCACCCGTGCCCCCAATCTAGGTTAGAAAAACGTCTAGCAAGTTAACAGGACAACTGTTATTTTGGAGGAGAGAAATGTTATATGTAATAAAAGATTTCACAGACTTTTTGTTAGTTTATTTGAGTCCTTGTATTATGGTACAGAACGTGTGGAACATCTGACCCAATTGTTGCTAATTGTCTTCCTATAACTCCAACAGCACTTCACATAACGCCAATAGCTGCTATATTAAACCGAGCCTTTTCATAACTATTTATTGTATTGAACCACATATTCAAGTTACAAAGAATACTTGTTTTTGAATGTAAAACGATTCTCGTTGTTTTTCCAAACAAGCACTTGTTCATTACCTTTCATTTTGCACTGTGACGTCATGTCTTTTCCGCATGCTGTGGCGATAGCTACGGACACAGCACCTGGAACAGAAAATCGTGGAAATATTCAATATGTCAATATGTGCAAATAGGCTCACTATTTATTGACTTTTCTTGTCTAACGATGCTCAATATACCAGATATATGACGGCGTTTCTGTAAGTAATAAAGTCTGGACCAGACAATCCAGTGATCGAAATTATGACCATTGTCCCACACTATCGCAATCAACCAAGTCATGACTACCCGATCCCTTTTGTCGCCAATCCCTTTAGGTTGCATTTTGTTTGGGACCTAGTCTACCCCGCAATCCCTACTAGGGAGCAACAAGACAGTAAAGTATGTGCTGTTTCTAGGCCCAAATCTAAACAGATTATAATAAAGTTATAAAGTAATATCACGGTTATATAGTTTTTAACATTCAAAATGAGCAACATGCGTCGGAGCTTGTTAATACTGAAAGATTTGAGTATTGAAATACTTAAGCACAAAGAATTATTTGAATATTTGATGTTCAACAATAGCATGCACCAATTTCAAATATCTTCTACATAATTATTTTTTTAATTAAGTGTATAAGTTTCATCCCATCCGCAAATACAGAAGTTGGAATATAGAAATAGCGCCAAGGCACAGTTGCAAACAGGTATATTTGGGAACACACAGTAACTTTTTGTAAATTAAGTATATAATCTGCATTCCATCCCCTAAGAAGGGTATTGAAGAGAGGATGCACAAACATTTCCATAATCACAAATGACATCTCTACGTAAACCCACTGTACAATGCTGACTAAACTGCCGGGCAAAAGAGAGTATACAACAAAGTTTTATAGTGGATAAAACACGAAATTGCTATTCGATGGTGATGTATTTGATACGGGTATCATGTTTTATCATATAATGGGTAGGTTTCTCGGCAGGATAAAGCCAACGGATAAAAACGATATCCGTTGGGGTCATATGCGGATAGAGATGCAAATATCAAAGGTCTAGTAGGGACTACTTTCACTGTTCATAAACAATCATGGCGTCGCCCTCGTCATTCGGCGATCGAGTCAGAATTAACCATCGGGAATCTGGATAAACTACAGGGATAATTGCTATTTTATAAGTTTTGGCAACTTTGGAGATATAAATTTCGAAACAATTTTTCGAGGGCACGAGGCCTAGCCAAGCGGGATCAGTAGCCATATCTGTGCTTGTAGATCTCTGCGGCTTGAAACCTGCTCCACAAATTAAAATAGTTGGATTTGGCCGAAATATATTTGAATTGTTACCTTGTTTCGTTTTGTCGCTGTGTGTACATCTGACTACACTTCATACGTTATGACAGGACAGACCGACTGTCAACAACGTCTGACCGTGGCCGTGACGTCTCATAGACTAGGGTTAGAGTAGCTTCCCTTTGACAAAGGGCAGTTACTCTAGCGGACAGACCGATGGATTGCCGCGAAAGGCAATTAAAAACAATTGTTGTTTTGCGTTTATGTTGCTTCGCCACTGCATAAGAAATAGATTTCAGTTGGAACTATATTGGCTACTGTCACTGTCCGACTGACACATCACTTACCCTGTGACGTAATAAATATTAATGCGCGCATTCCAGGAAAACTCGCAATGTTTCGGTTAATGTTTGTGAGAGAGGGAAAGCGATTTTGAAGCACAGAATTAAAGAATGACATTATATGATAAAGAGGTTATCACGCTTGTGTGTTCGGGGATGGTAAATATCCTGTATTAGGAATAAACACTATGTATTTAGCTCGCCAAGGCTCGCTAAATACAATGTTTATTCCTAATACAGGATATTTACCATCCCCAAACACACTCGCGTGATAACCTCTATGTATTTTTTACCTTTAGTTTGCAGTGTTTCGGCGAGTGTTTTCAGACCAGTAACGTTTTGATAACGTTTAGAATGCGTGTACTTCCTTCTGCCCGCAGTTTATAACAAAAGAATCACTACGAACTAGTGTTGATAAAAGGTGTTGGCGAAAAGGTGAGCACATCTTACCCCGGAGGTGGCACCAATCACAAACACATGCAAACATCTCACAAACATGCAAACATCTCACAAACACAAGCAAACATCACACAAACACAAGCAAACATCTCACAATCACAAGCAAACATCTCACAAACACAAGCAAACATCTCACAATCACAAGCAAACATCTCACAATCACATGCAAACATCTCACAAACACAAGCAAACATCACACAAACATGCAAACATCACACAAACATGCAAACATCTCACAAACACATGCAAACATCACACAAACACAAGAAAACATCTCACAATCACAAGCAAACATCACACAATCACAAGCAAACATCACACAAACACAAGCAAACATCTCACAATCACAAGCAAACATCTCACAATCACAAGCAAACATCTCACAATCACATACAAACATCTCACAATCACAAGCAAACATCTCATAAACACATGCAAACATCACGCAAACACATGCAAACATCTCACAAACATATCCCAGCCAAGTACAACACGAGCCGAATGCAATCTGCAATCTGAATCCAACTATAGTTGTACATATTATATCAGTGTTTCAGATTACCGAGAAGACGATTACGAAATTGAATGTTCAATTTTTTTTCAGTTCTATACCATAAACAAGTTATACCATGGCCCAACACGTCTTCAGATCCAAGACGTTCCAGTTTCATTGCAGTAGATATTAACGGTTTTCACAACTGAACACATCACAGCTGTGTTATAAAGCGA